TTTCCCTCTCCTATACATACAGTACCCAGCACATTGTGGATTCTGAATAAGCGCTGGCTGAATTGATATGTACTCTAATAAACTCCCTCAATTTGCAAGGTGCTGGATAGATGACCGCTCGAGCCTGACTACTCTGTTACAAAAATGCCTGCATTTACAACCCTGGGTGCCTTAAGATACTGGCTTATCCTGGTTCACAGTCTCCTCATAGAAATGTGGTCCTCATTCACTCAAGTTTCAGGGGGCACATGCATGTTGCCATGGCTTTCACTTTTTCCTTTTCCTGGTTTTCTCATTTCTTCCCTCCACACCTCTGGTCTGTTGGACCTCTGTCCTGGATCAGATGTTGAGGAGTGAGAGGGCTTACTGGGTCCAGCCAGTGTTCAAACAGTCTTCTGCCCTCCCTATCTGGGTGGATTTCCAAGGGGATTGGTTCTCAGGCCTTTAAGGCATAAATGACCCTTTGGGTTTTTGTGTACATACCCGTGGCCTCTCTGTGTACCACAGAACATGGTGAGGAGAAAGGTACATTTGTATTTATGTGTAAGTATTTGTGTAGGATTGCCTGTCTCACATGGTAATTTCCTTTAGGCAAGTGCTGGACCATATCTTGTAAAACATGCCTGAGGTTTTGCTGCATATCTTTTAGTCACATTTAAAAATCAAAATATATGATGCAATGAAGTACTATATATTCAAATTAGAGACTTCAATTTACATACATATCCCTTCATAGGATTAAACTCAATGTGCATTGTAATTGAGTGTTAATAGTACATTCGAAATTACTGTTCTAATACTTGTAAGTTTTTAAGATCCAAAAAGTGCCATTTATACTGTTTTGTTCACCAAATTCTTTAGCACGTGATACAGAATATGGGGAAGTAACTTCTCTGGGCAAAGTTTACTCATCATTTCATCTCCATTCATTCATTCATTCAACATTTTAATGATTGCTTACTGTCTGCCTGGCAAGGTGCTAGGACTTGTGAATATAAAGGAAAAGGTCAAGGTTCCTTCCTCAGTCCCGCTGGCGGGGGCCTGGGCGGAAAACACCAGCAGCAAGCAAGCCCCAAGGGACCCCAAGGTGCATATTCCTTCTTCCAACTCTAAAATCGTATTTCTACCCAAATGTCCTAAATCAACCAGTTAGTTATCCGAATCATGCGACTTCCCCTAATAAACTAGGAATAAGGTTTCGACTAATCTGATGTGATTTAAAACGATTTCTGCTGATTCTTTGCCTTGCCCATCCTTTCGTGGACGGCTGAAGTTCAGCTTTAATACAACTTGCCTGGAAGAGGCTGTGCTAGCATTCTGAAAGTTTATAATTAAGTTCAGTGTTGGCGTGTGTGCTAGAGTGGGGAGGAAAACGACCATAATTATAGAGTTTCGGTTGTGAGTGCCTGCCAGGCTTTTAAGTAGCAGAAACACGAGAAACGGATAAAGCTTTTCTCACTTTTAAATAAAAGTCGCACAGGAGTTGCCGGAGGGGTGCCCTTGGCGCTCTGTTGGACGCGGGCTGGTTGGGACGCTTGAGCATCTCCCCCCACCCCGCCACCTCCCTCCTCCCGGTCCTGGGTCTGAGGCCCTAGTCCAGGAGTGCTCCCAGAGGGCTCTGAGGGTCTGGGGCCTCGGTACAGGAGCTCTGTTGGGACAGGAGGCTACAGCGCGCACGGAAGTGCGCTCGACTTGCCCCAGGCCGAGGCCGACTCTCCTCCCCCACTTCCTCCTGCGCGTTGGCTCAGCCTCCGGGGCGGCTCCTCCTCCTGCTCTGCCTCCTCCCACTGGCCGCGGCAGCGCTCTGGCTGGGGGTGCGGCGCCCAGCCCTGCAGTCCCGAGCCTGAGGCGCGGCGCTGAGCGGCCGAGCGAGAGGGAGGCGAGGGGCTGCCCGCGCTGCTATCCCCGCCCCGCGCGCCCTGCGCCCCACTTCCCGGGCGGCCGCTCGGGAGCTCAGCCCTCCTGCCTCCTCCGGCGCTGTCCGGGACTCGCCGGGAAGCAAGCAGCTGGCAAGTTTCGGCGCGCGCAGGCGGCGGGCCGCGGGCACCGTGCGCTCCGGGCGGGGTGGCCGCGTCTCCGGGCTCGGCGCCCCGCGCGCACTTCAGCGATGGCTTCCCTGCCGCGGCGGCGG